CAGCAGCATTTCGTAAAATGTTTCGTCTCGGCATGTCGAAATAAATACCATTCGTTCCATGAAAGATATATTTAAGAGTTGCCTTTTTTTATTGCATCAATTCTAAGTTATTACTGATATTTATTTTTTCCAAATATCATATTTTTTTAAATGAATTAAATAAATAGAAAAATTTGTTCAGTTCTTTATAGATTTTTCTATACGAAAAAACATTTTAAGACTTAGGAAGGACCTGCAGCTTCGTAATCTTCAATGCTTTATATTATATCAATTACATGAAACTTGAGTTCTACCTGAAAATAATTTTATACATCTAAGACATTTTTCCATTAACCCTTCGACGATGTTGTGGGATCCAAGTGGACCCACCTGACAGTTTTTCGTATAATACAACGTTACTATTTGGTGTTTCAGATCAATCCTATTCTCTAATCTCTAGTCTTTAGTAGCTGCATAATATGCACACGAGAAACTATATATAGATCTAAGCAGGAAAAATTACAGGTATGGGTCCAGTTGGACCCCAGAACAACCACGGTGTTATAGACGTAGTTTTTCGTCTTACTGTGGCTGCCATCTGTTGCTTTCCTATTGTTTCTTCAAATATATTTGTTATGAGTCATTTTATGTTCATGATTAATAGTAATCATCACATTTTTTCCATATATAGTGTGAAGGGTGGGTGTGGGGTGAGGATTCAAGTCGTTCCTCTTCAACCACACCCACACCCTAGGAGGCTAAAGTGATTGAGTACACCGTTTTTGGACTTATATTTGAATATTGTTATAAAAACAGTTTCACGCAAGTTTTTTGCTGCATTGTTTATCTTTATACGGTTTCCATGAAAGCTGATGCATAAACGTCCATAAGCAGAATATGTAAAGACTTACAGTACACAAATGAATTGCTAAGATAAAACAAAAGTATTGGTTTTTTCAAATTTTCTATAAAAGGGTCCAGATCCTGTCTGTCGCGGTCTGTGATGGGTGCAGAGCCTGTCTGTCACGGTCTGTGATGGGTCCAGGCCCTGTCTGTCACGGTCCGTGATGGGCCCAGAGCCTGTCTGTCACAGTCCGTGATGGGTCTAGAGCCTGTCTGTCACGGTCAGTAATGGGCCCAGCGTCTGTCTATCACGGTCTGTGATGGGTCTAAAGCCTGTCTGTCACGGTCTGTGATGGGTCCAAGGCCTGTCTGTCACGGTCTATGATGGGACTAAAGCCTGTCTCTCACGGTCTGTGATGCGTCCAGACCCTATCTGTCACGGTCTGTGATGGGACCAGAGCCTGTCCATCACGGTCTGTGATGGGTCCGGAGCCCTGTCCGTCACGGTCTGTGATGGATCCAGAGCCTGTCTGTCACGGTTTGTGATGGGTCTAAAGCCTGTCTGCCACGGTCTGTGATGGATCCAGCGCCCTGTCTATCACGGTCTGTGGGGGGGGTCCAAATTTCTACCCCTAAACACTTCAACACTCCTTTCAGATCGTGTTTCACAAAATCAGCTCAAATCGGTTTTTATCACAATAGTACATATAAAAAGGATTAAAGCACATTTTTTCAATCGTAATAAAAAGAGAAGACAACCTAAAATAAATTTAATAAATATTACAATATCGATAATATAATCTCACGTGAAATATGCTTTTATCACAATTCCATTAAAATGTAATTATCCCAAAGGTAAATCTTAAAAGAAATTAAAGCAATGCTTTTGAATTTGAATAAGTAACTGCGACACCCGAAAATAACTTTTAAAAATGTTAAAATATTAATAATAGACTGTTCAATAAAACATGTGTATATCAGAATAGCATATATCAAAAGAGTTAAAGCACATTTTTTGATTCGTAATAAAATGATGAGATCATCGCGCTAAAACAAATAAAATAAATATTACAATAACGATAATATAATCTGACGTTAAATATGCCTTTATCACAATTCCATTAAAATCTTATTATCATAAGAGTACATCTTAAAAATAATTAAAGCAATTCATTTGAATTTACATAAGTGACTGTGATCGCCTAAAAAAAATTTTAAACATATGAAAATATTAATCATACACTATTCAATACAACATCTGTATATCAGAACAGCACATAAAAAGAATACACAAACATTTTTTTAATCCTAATAAAGCGATCACGCAATCTAAAAAAATTTAACAAATATTAGAATATCGATAATATAATACCAAGTGAAATATGCCTATACCACAATTGCATTAAAATACAATTATCATAAGAGTTAAGCTTAAAAAGAATTAAAACACTTCTTTTGAATTGAAATAAGTACCTCCAACAGCCTTAAATAAATTTTAAACATATTAAAATATGAATGACCTACTATTCAATAAAACATGTCTATATCAGAATAGCATATAGAAAAGGAATTGAAGCACATTTTTTGAATCGTAATAAAGACTTGAGACAATCTAAAATAAATGTAATAAATATTAAAATATCGATAATATAATCTGACAGGAAATCTGTCTTTATCACAATTGAATTAAAATGTAATTATTGTAAGAGTACATCTTAAGAAGAATTAAAGCAATTCTTTTAAATTTAAATAAGTAACTCCGATAGCCTACCCAGTGAAAAATAATCATGGAAAAAAACGGGAGTGAACGCGTTCAGCAAAACATGGAAAGTTACCTTTCTCATGAAGAACGCGTTCTATAGTTTGGCGAATGCGTTCATG